GACTTTGATTTGATTCAATTTGATTTGTTGAATGCATTGGATTTTGATTTGATTCAATTAGCTTTTTTAAATTCATTTGACTTTCATTTGATTCAAAAAGCTTTGTTTGAATGTGTTTCACTTTTATTAGATTAAATTAACTTTGTTGAACGCATTTAATTTTCTTTTGATTCAAAAAGCATTGTTTGAATGTGTTTTGACTTTTATTTGATTCAATTATCTTGGTTGAATGCATTTAACATTGATTGATTTAATTAGCTTTGTTTAATGCATTTCACTTTCATTTGATTAAAAAACTTTGTGTGACTGTGTTTGACTTTCATTTGAGTTAACTAGCTTTGTTGAATGCATTTGACTTTCATTTCATTCCAAAAGCTTTTTTTGAATGCTTGACTTTCATTTGATACAATTAGCTTTGTTGAATGTATTTGACTTTCATTTAGTTCAAAAAGCTTTGTTTGATCATGTTTGACTTTCGTTTGATTCAAATAGCCTTGTTGAATGTATTAGACTTTCATTTGATTTAAGTTTGAATGTGTTTGACTTTTATTTGATTCAATAAGCTTTGTCAAATGCATTTGACTTTCATTTGATTCAATTAGCTTTGTTGAATGAATTTGACTTACATTTGATTCAAAATGCTTTGGTTGAATGCATTTGATTTCATTTAATTCAGTTAGCTTTGTTGAATGCATTTGACTTTCATTTGATTCAAAAAGCTTTGTTGAATGCATTTGACTATCATTTGATTTAAAAAGCTTTTTTTAAATGTGTTTGACTTTCATTTGATTCAATTAGCTTTGTTGAGTGCATTTGACTTTCATTTGATACAAAAAGCTTTATTTAAATGTTTATGACTTTGATTTTATTCAATTATCTTTGTTGAATTTGTTAGACTTTGATTTGACTCTATTAGCTGTTTTTTTTTTTTTTTTTTTTGGTAAATAGAAATTTTTTACCAAAATAGAGAGTACAACTTACAAAAGGAGTTGTACTAGCAATATCACCCAAACTACACAAGACCCGAAGGTCAACCACCCCAAAAACAGTTCAAGGATCTAGAATAGCCACCTTCTAGGAAGGGTTCTAAACAGAGCCAAGAACAAACTGAGCCCAAGCACCTGAGCACCTTCTAGGAAGGGTATCAGGAACAAGGACCAGAGAAAAACCAACACAACCAAACAAAACCAAAACAGCTATTACAAGAAAAACAATTACAAAAAGGAAAGCAAAAAATAGAAACACCAACTAAAAAAAACAGCAGTAGCTACAGTAACAAGCAGAACCAGCACCAGCAATCAGAAACAGTAGCAGCAGCTAGGAACAAGAACTTAAGATGTCAGCTGCAGCACTAGACAAAAACCTGACACAGAGCAGCAACCAAAACCAGGAGCAGCATCCTGAAACAGAAACACAACAAGCCAGCTGTAGCATCAGACAGAAGCCTGAGATAGCAGCTAAGACCCAAACCCACCAGGCCTGCTGCAGCACCATCGAGCAAGCCAGAATACAGTAGGTAGCCACAAGGAACAAAACAGCTAGGAACCCAAACAGGTAGCACCAATCCAGCACCAGCACCAGCACCACCAAGCACCAGCCACCAACACACAGCAAGAAAAAACAACCACCCAGCCTACACCAACAACAAATAGAAAACAGAGAAAAGCTCAGGAGATAAGCTTGGTTCTGTCAGTTTCCTTGCATCTATAGGCCACCTTAAAAATGATCTCTCTAACAACAAGATCTACAGACTCACAAACCTCATTGAACATGGTATTGTTCCTTTGAATCCATATACTATAAACAGCTTCAGCAAGCAGCATGAGGTGGAGCCTAGGTATAGGTTTTGACTTACAATACTTTTTGGCCCATTCTATCTCTTGACTAAAGCCCTGGGCAGATTTCTGAATTTTAAGAAGAGATAGGAGTCTCTCCCATATTTTAGTAGAGTAATTACATGAAAAGAACAAATGTTGAACTTTCTCAGGCTCTTGAAGGCACAGCAAACAGATTGGATCACAGGAGGGGTTCCACTTGATTATTCTATCCTTTGTTAAGAGCCTGTTACAAGTAGCAAGCCAGAGAATAAAAATGCTTCTGGAGAAGCAGCATTATTGTAAACAACCCTCCTCCAAGGCACTCTCACACCTTGCTGCCTAATCTTGCTGTAAATTCATTTGACTTGGACCTTATTGTTTTTCACCAAAGGGTCCCAACCCCCAATATCATCAATAATGCTTCTACATTTCATGATTTTCTTTAAGTTCCAGGAGCTCTTATTATGAATGGAAGCAGACCAGAAATCAGAGTTCTTGAAATAGTATATGTGAACCCACTTGACTTATAAAGAACCAGATTTATGATTAATGTCCCAAAGAACCTTACACATAGCAGAGACATTCCGCTCATGTAATGCTATGACATTCCAGCCACCACAAGATCTGGGTAAACAAACAGAGTTCCAGGCTACAAGGGCTTTCTTGGAAGGATTAGCAGCCCCAGTCCACAGGAAGGCCTTGAATCTACTTTCAATCTCATTTAAAATCTTTTTCGGAAGCACAAAGATTTGAGCCCAATAAGTCTGGATTCCAAATAAGACACTCTTGATGAGTTGTTATCTACCAGCATAAGAGAGAAACCTAGTGACCCAAGTCTCAATTCTAGCAGTGATTCTCTAAACAAGAGGCTTACATTGTTGAATAGTGAGCTTCTTTGATGACAAAGGGACCCCCAAATACTTAAAAGGGAGGGAACCAACAGACATACCTAGAACCCTTAAAAGGGCATTCTGCTCATCAGCCTGAATTACCCCAAAATAAACTTAACTCTTACTGAGATTAGCAACCAAGCTAGAAGCTAGAGAGAATTTCTTAAAGGCATTGAAGAGAAGTTAAATAGAATACTCATCAGCCCTAGCAAACATAAGCAAATCATCATCAAACATAAGGTGGACCAGAGAGAGCTTCTCACATCTAGGGTGGAAATTGAAATCAGGAACTTTGTTCAGCTCATGAAGGCATCTAGACAAATACTACATGCCCAAAGCAAATAAAAAAGGAGACATAGGGTCACCTTGTCTGAGACCTTTCCTAGCTCTAAAAGAAGGAGAGGGAATGCCATTAATGAGGATCGAAAATGATGATACACCCCATGATCCATCTAATAAACAAACTTGGAAACCCCAACTCTTCCATTACAGTTCTCAAGAAACCCCACTCAATAGAATCATAAGCCTTTTTTAGGTCCACCTTAATCATACACCTTGGAGAGACATACTTGTGACTGTAACCCTTGATCAGTTCAGTAGCCTGGAGAATATTGTCACCTATATGCTTCCCAGGTATAAACCCAGCTTGAGCCTCATCAATAATGTCTCCAACCAATCTAGAAAGCCTAGCTGTCAAGATTTTGGAAATAATCTTATATAGGACAGTACAGCAGGCAATATGTCTAAAGTCTTTAACATATGTGGGGTTTTGGATTTTGGGAACCAGAGTCAAAGTAGTACAATTCCACTAAGCATTCAGATTACCTGTCTCAAAAAACTGATGAATAGCCTCATATATATCCAGCTTAATATAATCCCAGGTACATTTGAAAAATTTTGCATTGAAGCCATCAATACCAGGAGCTTTGTCATCTCCAATTCCCTGGATAGCAAAATTAATTTCTGCATTTGAAATAGGAGCAGTCAAGAAAACCTGAGCATCAGTAGAAAGGTGCTTGCTAGCTCTCATAGTTAACAAGTCAATAGAACACAATAAGGAGGAAGTAGAACCCATCAACTGTTTGTAGAAGGAGATAACCTCATGCTTAATATCAACAGGATCTTTGACCAAAACATGCCGATCAGTCATAATAAAATCAATTCGATTCCTGGATTGCATGTGTTTCATCATAGAGAAGAAATATTTGGTGTTAGAGTCCCCAAGAGAAATCCAATCAATTATAGATTCTGTCGATATATGCTTTCCTGCACAGACCTCCAATATTTAAGGTTGTCAATAGCAGCAGATTCCTGTTCCAGTAAGATAGAACTAGAATGATTAATAGCCATTTGATCCTGAACATCAAGAAGGGTCTTATGTCCATCACAGACGCTCTTATCAACATCACTGAATGATCTCCTATTAAGACTTTTCAACTAAATCTTTAACATCTTTAGCTTATTCCAGACTCTAGTCATAGAGTTACCAGGTACCCCCCCTACTCCAAACTTCCTGAACAAGGTCCAGAAAATCCGGGTGGGTAGTGAGGCAATTAAGAAACCGAAAAGGCCTACCTTTAACAGGGAGAGCAGGACATATATCATATAGGAGGGGAGGGTGGTCCAAAAGAGAAGGCGCTAAATAATGAGCCTCAACATTTGGATAATTAAGCAGCCAACCAAAGTTCACCAGACCTCTATCAATTCTAGTGAGGGTATGGGGACCAGTACGGGCCTTGTTAGACCAAGAGTAATAAGGCCCTTTACTCTTTATCTCAACCAGGTTCATAGCATCTACAAAATTCTTGAAGTCCCTGATTTCGTAATCAGTCACAGAATTGCCATTGATCCTATCTTCAGGGAGCAAAACAGAGTTAAAATCTCTTGTACAAAGCCAAGGCACAGTAGTAGAACCAATAGCTTCCAATCCAATCCATAGACTTTTCCTATCATGGATATTATGCATCCCATAGACAAAAAAAAACAAGAACCTGTCTACTGTAATCAATATTACTTACACAGTAGTGAATAAACTGAGCAGTAATATTAAGCACATCTACATGTAACTTGTCATTTATCCAACCAATCCAGATTCTTCCTTTCCCAGAAGCAGTATAATTACAAACCCAAGTTAGACCAAAACCAAATTTCTTCTGTAAACTCTTACTTTTATGCTGCCTAACTCTAGTTTCAAGTAAACAAATCAGGTCACACTTCGTTCTACTGAGTAGCTGTCTGACATCAGCTACTTTGGAAGGGTCATTGAGACCCTTCACATTCCAGATAGTGAGAATCATGGTTGCACATGGGGTCCACCCCCGCTTGGCTTATTAGTTTCTTGCATCACAGCCTTATTTCCATCAGAATTCAATACATCAAAAGTATTAGCAGTGTGTAAACTTGTCACCTTGTTAGCAGGAACAACACCTCTTTTCCTGACAGTTTCCCATCCATCCTTGTTAACAGGACCTTTAACATTACCCCCCCTGAACCTTCTGAACCCAAGTTCTCTGTAGCTGTGGCTTATGAGCTATATGACTAACCTGTTTAGGTCTTGATTCAGGACACACATGTCCCACCTTAAGACACTTTTCACAATAAGGAGGGGTCCATTCATATTCAATTGTCAATTCCACCATTTCCCCTTTTGGACTCTCCACCCAAACAGATTTAGCTAAGGGTTTAGTGATGTCAATCTCGATTAACATTCTAGCAAATGACACCCTCAATTGTCTTGATGTGCATTCATAAGCACAAATTGGAACTCCTAAAATACTGCCAATCCTACTTAGGGTTTCAAAACCCCAGCAATTCAAAGGGAGATTAGGAAGCTTGACCCATAAAGGTATAGTGCGCAAAATTTCAGCATTGAAATCAAACTTTTCAGACCAGGGCTTAACTATAGTTGGTTTCCCTATAAACATATATGGGCCACCACACAAAACAGAATTAAGATCATCCTCATTACACAAATTAATTATGAAGTATCCCTCGTCATGCTAGAAAACTTCAGGACTATTGTGAATACCCCACTCATCAGCAATAAAACGCTTGATTGAAGCAATTGTAGGGTAATAGCCAACTACAAACAACACAATAGCATTTCTCCATTTTTTTGTTCCTTCATCAATTTCATTGACAGGAAGAACAACAACAAGCTTACCATTTTTTATCAAAGGAGGGACATAGCTCAGAGACGCCCCTTTTACATTTAATTTCCCATTAAAAGCCCGAACCTCAGTAGAGCCCTTTCCCAACTCTTTCTGCTCAGGAACAGAATTCTCATCAACAATATGTTCAGTGTTAAGCAAAGATCCAACTTTGTTCCCCTTTTTAGAGGCAAGAGCATAAGAATTTTCCTACTGATTGCCAATCAATGAAACAGTAGTCGAGTTTACTTTTCCATTAGATTTTGGACCAACTAAGCCAAAATTGAGAGCCAACATCTAGGCATCTCTTCGAGTAATCATCCCTGCAGAAGGGTGAACTAAACCCGGGGCAGGAGTAACAAGCACATCACCTTCATCAAAAACTTCGTGAACAGTTTAAAAACCAGTAGGAACCGGTGCAAAAAGGGATTCTGTAATTTCTTGAGAGAGCTAAGCTGGGGCAGGGGAAGCCTGCTGCTTCTTCTTTCTAGCCATACTGAGTGATTAGTTGAAGAAACCAACAAAATCAAATAGCCATGGATGAAAATCAAGCTTTCTCTCTCTAGGGTTTTTCACTTTCTCTTTCTAGGGTTTTCCACTAAAAAATTAGCTTTGTTGAAGGCATTTGACTTTCATTTGATTCACAAAGCTTTTTTTAATGCATTTGACTATCATTTAATTTAAAAAGCTTTGTTTAAATGTGTTTTACTTTCATTTGATTCAATTAGCTTTGTTGAGTGCATTTGACTTTCATTTATTACAAAAAGCTTTGTTGAAATGTTTTTTACTTTGATTTTATTCAATTATCTTTGTTGAATTTGTTAGACTTTGATTTGACTCTATTAGCGTTATTGAAGGCATTTGACTTTCATTTGATTCACAAAGCTTTGCTTAAAAGTTTTTTACTTTCATTTGATTTAACTAGCTTTGTGTAATGCATTTGACTATTATTTGATTCAATTAGCTTTCTTTAAATGTGTTTAACTTTCATTTGATTTTATTAGCTTTGTTGAATGCATTTGACTTTCATTTGATTCAAAAAGCTTTGTTGAATTTGTTTGACTTTCATTTGATTAAATTAGCTTTGTTGAATGCATTTGACTTTCTTTTGATTCAATTAGCTTTGTTGAATGCATTTGAATTTCATTTGATTCAAAAAGATTTGTTTGAATGTGTTTGACTTTGATTTGATTCAATTAGCTTTGTTGAATCCATTTAATTTTCATTTGATTCAAAAAGCTTTATTTCAATGTGTTTGACTTTGATTAGATTCAATTAACTTTATTGAACGCATCTAGTTTTCATTTGATTCAAAAAGCTTTGCTTGAATGTGTTTAACTTTCATTTTATTCAATTAGCTTTATTGAATGCATTTGACTTTGATTTGATTCAATTAGCTTTGTTGAATGCATTTGACATTTATTTGATTAAAAAAGCTTTGTAAAATGCATTTGACTTAGATTTGATTCAATTAGCTTTGTTGAATGCATTTAACTTTCATTTGATTTATAATGCTTTGGTTGAATGCATTTGACTTTGATTTGATTCAATTTGCTTTTTTGAATGCATTTGACTTTTATTTGATTCAAAAAGCTTTGTATGAATGTGTTTGACTTTGATTAGATTAAATTAACTTTGCTTAACGCATTTAATTTTCATTTGATTCAAAAAGCTTTATTTAAATGTTTTTGACTTTCATTTGATTCAATTAGTTTTGTTGAATTCATTTGACTTTAATTTGATTCAATTGGCTATGTTGAATGCATTTGACTTTCAATTTATTGAAAAAGATTTGTTTGAATATGTTTAACTTTGATTAGATTCAACTAACTTTGTTGAACACATTTGACTTTCATTTTATTAAATTAGCTTTGTTGAATGCAGTTGACTTTCATTTGATTCAAAAATCTTTGTTTGAATGTGTTCGACTTTCATTTGATTCAATTAGCCTCGTTGAATGCATTTGAATTTCATTTGATACAAAAAGCTTTGTTTGAATGTATTTGACTTTGATTTTATTCAATTATCATTGTTGGATTTGTTAGACTTTGATTTGACCCTATTAGCTTTGTTGAATACATTTGACTTTCATCTGATTCAAAAAGATTTGTTTGAATGTGTTTTACTTTCATTTGATTTAACTAGCATTGTTGAATGAATTTGACTTTTATTTTAATCAATTAGCTTTGTTTCAATGTGTCTAACATTCATTTGATTTAATTAGCTTTGTTTCAATGTGTCTAACATTCATTTGATTCCGAGATCAGGGAATGGTAATCATGAGAAATGGAGTGACCTATTTCATACTAATACATTTGAGAGCCTTAATCACATGAATCATAGGAATAATCAGGGATTGCATGTAACTGGTAATGTTGAAAGAGGTAGGGTGCAGTTGACTATAGAAGATGTGCAACCCGAGATTGATTACTGGGATTCAGCAATTGTCTGCTATGTGATGTGTTCCAAGCCTCCTCTTCAGATGTTCACTGGCTTTGCGAGACGTGTTTTGGGAAAATATGGTGTTGATAAAATATCTACTATGGCCAATGGTGTCTTTGTGGTTCGATTCAATGAGAAGGAGGGTAGGGAGAAGGCAATTGAGGCTGGTCCAATACTTTTTGATAAGAAACCAGTGATTCAATTAGCTTTGTTGAATGCATTAGACTTTCATTTGATTCAAAAAAAATGTTTGAATGTGTTTGACTTTCATTTGATTCATTTAGCTTTGTTGAATGCATTTGACTTTCACTTGATTCAAAAAGCTTTGTTTGAATGTGTTTGACTTTCATTTGATTCAATTAGCTTTTTTGAATGCATTTGACTTTCATTTAATTCAAAAAGCATTATTTGAATGTGTTTGATTTTCATTTGATTCAATTAGCTTTGTGTAATTCATTTGACTTTTATTTGATTCAATTAGCTTTGTTGAATGCATTTGACTTTCATTTTATATAAGTGAATTAAGGATAATCATTAGTTCCGAGATTGACTTCTACTAGAGGATCATGGACTTCCTGTTTGATATCTTCACTCTTAGCCCATATCTTTTCATTCCTTTCTTCACCGTTAAACTTTATTTCTGAGTTTGGCATTCATCGAGTATGGTCATTAGAGTTTGAGTAATCAGATAAACATTTAGGAGCCTCCATATTTGTGTTAACCTCTATATTATGTTACGAATAATAACTTACATATAAATTTTGAAGAGCTAATAAAGTACCAAATCTAAATTTGCTTTTTATGTAATTATCCATAATATTTGTCCAAATTACAAATGTACAAAGAAAAGATACTCAACATATCCAATCTTAAGTACCCAAACTCAAAGATAGACCCTGCATGTGAATTGTGTGTATCTTCAACTACATCTGCCTCATCTATTTTGGCGATTGCACTTAACACCACCTTCAGTTTATGAACTGATTGGGAATCAAGTTTGAGTACAATCTCATCTGTCTTTGGTGTTGACTTCACAAGAACCCTGGGAAAATCTTGGTTAGTATCAATCATAAAAGCTTCTACATCAGCACAAACTACTTAGTATTCATCACCATTCCATAATATTATTTTCTGATGCAAAGAAGGAATAGCATACGTTTGATGCAACCATTCTCTAACTAGGATAGCATTACAAGATGCTTCTCCTCTTACTATTAAGAATGATGAAACAGTTTTAGTAGTACCTACTTGGATCTCAATACATGCCAACCCTTCAGTACGTTCAGACTTACCATTGAAACAGCTATATTAATCTTAACACTAGCCAAATCTTTTTTGCTTTAACCAATCTTATGAAAAACAGACAAAGGCACTAGATTTATTGTGGCTCCTTACTGACTAATACTTCCCTAGCACAAACCCTTCAAAATTCACAGTCACAAAAAGAGGTTTATTATGTGCATTATCAACATTGTAATTTCTTAACAAAGGTCGAATGACTAACTGTTCTTGATCATGTGTTGTTGTTTCTCTACTAGGTGAGCTAGATGATGCTTTATTCAATTCAGCAGATATAGTAGAGAGTTTATACTCATTTACAGCTTTTGCCTAATCCACTTCATTTGCCCATGAATTGGTACCAGGCTTCACCACTTGAGCTCTAAACTCCCCTGGTAAAGTCACGGTATTGCAATCTGCCTCGCAATCCTCATCTAAATACTTTGACAGAAATTCCAGATCTGATTTTGAAACTTCCAGATCAAGACCTTCTATGTCATAGTCTACTAACTCATATGGTGGTTGATTTGTGGCCATCAGATCCTCACCTAAGCTTTCTTCCTTATGATATTTTAGAGTTGGGTCCTTTTCTAGAATGCTTTCCATTGGTTCCTTCACTATGGGATGATTCTGGATATCATCGCTAGGAGGTTCAATGGACTGTTCACCATCCACTGATTGTCTAATCGCTGTGTCAAATCCAGGTTGGATGATTTGTGATGGAATGGTTTCGAAGACACCTTTCTTCAAAGCATTTACATCTAGTTGAACTACCATCGCATGAATCTGGCTGCTTAAACTTCTTCTGACGTATTTTGCCTTTTTTTATGGATTTCCTTTTTCCGTTGAGCTTCTGATTATCATTCTTTATCACCCTATCCTTCAACACTCCTTTTGTTCTCCTTTTCATGCTCACATAGTTGTCCCTTTTAGTCGTAGGTACAAAGTTCTCCTTTCCTTCATTCACCTTATGGAATTTCAACCTGTTTTTCATAGAAGGAGTCAGATTACTAATCTCGTCCTCTTCTTATGGTAAGTTCTTTGTGTCTAGGTATCCAATTAGGATCATTTGGAATGGTCTTAGTCCTAACCAATTCAAAATGCAACAAATCAGCACAAGAATGACAAAGATTGTGCCGCAAATTCTTAAGTCCCTCTACTGCTTTAGTTTGCAAAGGAAATAATTGGATTGCCTCTTTGTAGGAAGGTGCCTTTTGTTTGTAATTGCTCATCTTTTCAGCTGACCTATTAGCCTTTTAGCCATCCACAACGGACTTAGCTTTGTCCTTCTTCCCTTTAGGATTGAATTCAGCAAGTTTCATTGTTTAATATTCCTGCTTTGAAATGATCACTACATTCGTTTTGATCATTTTATTCAGAAACCCTTCGAAGGCCAAACATTCACTGGTAGCATGAGCAGAACTAAAGTTCCATCTACATATCATCATATCTTCATAGTTATCGTCTTAGCATTGAGGTGACACAGTTACTCCTTCCTTGGCCAGCCTCTCTTACAATCAGATTGCAACAGTATCCTCTTTCAGTCTTTGTATTTCATCCTGCACAATCTCCATGTCAGCACTTACCATTAAACAATTCATTTCATAGACTTCAGACTCTGAAGTAGACTCTAACTCTACTTCATAAGAGCTAACTT